AATCGACAATTTCTTAAAAATGTCGGTGAATTCAAATAAGTTTTCAATGCTAATTTAATTGGTATCAAGTTATATTTTTTATTTGATGAAGTGACTTCAGATGAAAATGATGTAGAGGATGAAGAGGACAATGAAGAGGTGTTACATTCAAAAGTTGTATTATCATTTGTAAATTCATAAAAATTGAATGATAAATCAACGCCTTGATCTAATAAACGTTTCCATTGACAACATAATCGTTTCCAAATTAAACAATTCAATCCTAATAAAAGACGTGCTAATTCCAAATTATCTTTGGGACTTGTTGAGGATGAATCATTATTCGACAGGATCTGACAAGGAACACCATTAGATGATAAGGAAGGTATGATAAATGGATGACCCAATTGTACCAATGCACTGCCGCTACCGTCAGTGATTACAAATCGTATACAAATGCCTAGATTAGCAAAATCGTCATTTTCTAAAATCGAAAGTGAAAATCAGGTAAGAGTCGATCAATGTTCGAGTGAGTGGACACAAACAGGATCCAGATAAAGTATTTATTATTGAACTGTGAAAATGAAGTAGTTTTCAACACAACCTAACTGTTAGAGTTATTGTTACGTCCTAGATCTGTCCGTTCGGGAATTCAGATTTCTTAGAACGACCTTGAGATTTCCAACGCATGTGTTCGATTAATGACTAGAACGGTCTTGAGGGAAAAGAGAACAGAACTATCCTATCACTAAACTATGATGACCTGATAGGTTAGTAAGTGGATAGCGAGAAAATGATTTAACTGGGACTGTTATACAGTTTATTCCAATTAACCAAGATACTGTCCCAAAAATAGCTCTCGTTGTTTATAATTGCTTCGTTCTATCTGTCTTCATAAAAAACTTCCCATTTGGGAGCATCGTAAGGACATGCAGTCCCATGGTAGCCGGTGACCAACGAGTGGTTCATACGCCATTTGTTCCTTCAGGATACTGGAGCCCATGTGCACCATTGGTTTGGAATCCGGTTAAAGCACCGGACATTCGCTTCTCGTCCTCCTATTTTCGTAAACAACACCCCCGCCACGAGAAGGTAGTGAGTAGGACTTCCCTGGCAGAGGCTATATACGCGTGGCCATGTGAGAGCATTTCGAGAGGGAGAGCGGACTCTCCCCACTTCCGGGCGTACCAGGGCATTTGGGGGCGTTACTCGTATTGCAATCAATTAAGTTCCTGACTAACAATCTCGATTTCCAAGTCCATACCCTTTAACGTGTATTTTTTATAATGGATGAAGGCAATCAGTGGGAGACTGTGATTGGCCCAAATATTTCATGCTAATTAGCACTCATCATCAGCAGGGTATTGTCAATAATTTTTAAAAGAACCAATGTTCAATGTGGCATTATTCAAACTTAAGTCATATTCTGAGGCATAACACTGCAGTACTAAGTCTACGACTGACCAGTTTTCTCTGTAGAATGGAGATATTTATATCGGATAATTACTGAGTCCTAACTAATGCCATTTTCGTCTTTAGTGCGGATTGAATTCGGTCGTTCAAGTTGTAACGTGGTCACAAGTCTGAGGTATTCAACATCTCGTAAACTGGATCTTTATGCTACGTTTCCAAGCACTAACGCGATCACTGACAAAACGCTGGAAGAACTGTACTGCGTTTCACACCCGGAGAATTGTTGTTTGTTATTACAAATGATTAAAAGATTATTCTCATACAACATAGAATCTAAGCGAACTACGTGGATCGGACGATTCATGCGCAACACTTTGACAACCATCCTCAAGGTGATGGAGAAAAGAATTCAGGAACTAACCAAGAAGCTCGATATCCAAAAACGTCAAAATTGTAGTATAATTATGTTCATACAGAAACACAATGATAAACATACCAGACTGAAAACGAGAACAACTAAACAGATGTCACTAAAGGTCAATGGGAACAAATGAATTAGAAAACCGTTGTCGAAGACATCCTTATACAGCATCACAGCTATCATGTATTAACAAAAATAAGGAAACTAGACAATCTGAGATCCATCTAGCAACGATTAACTAAAGAAACCAAGTGAAGAAACAAACACGTCTTCCACTTACGATCATCACCGGCGGTGTTAGATAGACGATAAATTTGGAATTCTAAACATCGAGTAATTGTAGCCTGTACATTAATGCGCTCTTTCAATAAATCGCCTTCTACATTTGAATATCCTGTGGAAATGGATCCACCAATCCAATCATAATTATTACTTATTAATAATTTTGGTTCTTTGGTTACAATTAAACTATTGTCATATTCATTATCTAATGAGATCGTCAAACTATCTGACAACTGTGTACTAATTTTATCCAACATTGAATCCGTATTCGTCTGATTCACGACTATGATGCGTGATAAATCAGTATAATTAAGGTGTAAACTAGCCAATGATGATGATGTTGGAGTGATTGCAGAAAGTGAGAAATTGGTAAATCTACAATATAATATCATTTGATTAGACGTTGTGAACAATGATACAATGTCAAGATTATTCACTAATTTAGTCTTTCTGAATAGATTCACCTTGTATACAGTGGTTACGTCAATATTATTGAGATTAGACAGTGTTTTCGGCAATTCACTACAAGTTGTCACCCATAATATCCAATGACCAGTCAATGAACAATATTGTTTAAATAAAATGACTGCTTCAAAGTTGAGCAAACAACCAATTGGATAATTGGATCGTTCGTGCATAATATCATTTAAATTGGCAACATTAACAAAGGAAAGATTCTCTCTATTCATAGGAATTGAGTTGTTTAAAATCGAAACACTAATTAATTGTCGAAGAGGTGATTGATCATGATTAAATGATGTTGAACTGTTAATATTTACCCAACTAAGTTGGTAATGATATCCAATTTGAAAATTATAATACCATCGATAAGCTAAATCACCAGTCAATGATAGATACATCAAATTTGAATCGACACTACTGCCATTGTTAAAAGTAGCAGCATTAACGTTTGCAACAGTATTATTTTCTATGAATTTTCCAGCAAACATATAGGACCATAATAGTTTATTCGAAGAGGGAGAATGTCCATTAGGATCGACAGAAGCTTCAGGAGAACAACAGGATAATGGACCTAGATTGACAAGAACAATTGTACAAGACTGTTGTTGTTCCCGTAGTTTACCATAATCATCCATTATACTTTCAGATAAATAATTTACTTGAAATGGGATGATTTGTTTTGCATAAATATACATTCTGGATGTAGATGATACTGAATCAGTTGAATGAAATGGCATATCAGCACTGAAATTGTGAATAATTATTCAAATAAAGCTGTAGTTTGCTCATATATCATTAACATTAAAGTTATTGTTCATAGAAATCATGAACCGATCCACGTTGGACCACGATTAAGAAATTGGAATCACTGAACGGCCATTTCGTTCTAGTAAGCAACACCTTAGCAGTGTGCATCCACGACCACACACCCAGAACATCTAGTTCCGCGCGCGTAAGCAAAACTTCTAGACAACTGAGCTAGCACTCAACGATGTGGTGGTCTAGAGGTTAAGCGCTTGCGCTCGAGTTCGAAAGTCCTGGGTCCGATTCCAAAGTGCGGAATCGTGAATGGACGCTTGAGGAGTCCGATACTAAAAGGAAACAGGCGTACAGTGCTCCCAGGTTCTCAATGGTTGTCTAACTCAGATCAACTCGTGATGTTAACAACAAAATATAACGGAGAGAACTATTGTGCAGTAAACACAAGTTGACAAAAACCAGTCGAGTTTTATGAATCCATGTCGATATTTCGTCAGACAGTACCATATTAGAACTGATGAGACTACCATGGTATGTAAATCGGTCGATACGCTCAATCACTTCACTCTGTATAATTAATTGAGGCGCTGACACAAGTTAACCCTGAAGCAACGTTTTGCATTTTGGAGTAAGCATTTGGGTCTCAATCAAGCTTGGATTGAATTTATGTGAAGTTTGAACTTGAAATCGATCTGTTGAAAGTTGAGCACTTTACAAACCTAGCTACCAGGATTTTTGTATACAGTGGTGGATGGAGATGCCGAAAAGAATTTACAGAGTTTCAGCGACCAACTTTAGTAAAAGAGGAATAAGAGAGTTATTGTTGACAGCTATCAAAAATTTCTCGACAAAGTCTCTAGACACTCAGAAAAGACTGAAAACGTTTCGTCCAACCAGCATCAAATAGAAAGTTATCAGAAGTGTTCATAAAAATAAAGCATTGTGTCACATTTTGATTGGTCAATTACTTATTTTGTTGCCATATCTAGTGCATTTCCAGAAGTTTCTAGAAGGCCAAGGTCAATCTAAAATACATATATAAGCATGTTTTCAGTAAAATCTTGAAATGAAGCTTTTATTCTTACTTCGTGCCTTTCATTTAGCATCAATTTACAGTGTGAAATTTGTTAATGGATAATCATTGAAATTAACTCGGTAGAAGAATTTGCTGGAAATCATAAAAACATTTCAGGATTTGCATGGTGAAATACATCTTTACCTGTCAGCAATATGTTTCTACATCACTGAATCCAGTCATATCAGTTCTTGTTCAGGTTATTAAAAAAACTGGCAATGAGATGGAATATGTGATAAGAATCATCTTCAAACAAGAATTTGGAGTGATTATTATTTGACCAGAATATAAGAATAGTTATATTCTATCTGTTTAGGAATTATTAGTGGTATTACACCTATATAAATATCAGGGCTGCCTTCGATTCGTTGGATAGGACTGTTCTCTGGGATTGTCTATTGAAGAAGGGTGTGCCTGAGAAGTTTATTAACATCCTAAAAGCCCTGTATAAAAACACCTCAGGCAGAGTGAGGGCATACAACCACCTCTCTCCATTGTTCCATTCGAGCAGTGGGGTTAGGCAGGGTTGCCCAATCTCACCATTCCTCTTCAACTTTGCCATCGATGACATTCTGGAAACAGCTCTGATGAATGTAAGTAATGGTGGTGTGGATCTGTTGCCTGGAGAAAGACTTCTCGACCTTGAGTATGCGGACGATATTGTCTTACTGTGCGATAATGCCCAAGGCATGCAATCCGCACTTAATCAGTTGGCAATCAGTGTCCGTAGGTATGGTATGTGCTTTGCACCTTCGAAGTGCAAAGTACTTCTACAAGACTGGCAGGATTCTAGTCCTGTACTCACTCTGGATGGTGAGCAGATAGACGTAGTTGAGAAGTTCGTGTATCTGGGTAGCTACATAAGTGCTGGTGGGGGTGTGAGTGATGAGATCAATGCACGAATAGTGAAAGCCAGAGCGGCTTATGCCAATCTGGGCCACCTTTGGCGCCTTCGTGATGTTAGTCTGGCTGTAAAAGGCCGGATCTACAACGCGTCGGTGAGAGCAGTTTTGCTCTATGCTTGTGAAACCTGGCCTCTCCGAGTTGAGGACGTTAGACGACTCTCTGTGTTCGATCATCGCTGTCTCCGAAGGATTGCTGACATTCAGTGGCAACACCGTGTCAGTAATGCAGAGGTTCGGCATCGTGTGTTCGGGCACAGAGATGATAATGCAATTGGTGTCACCATCTTGAAACACCGACTTCGGTGGCTTGGACATGTTCTCCGAATGTCGTCCCAGAGAATTCCACGTCGTGCATTATTTGCCGACTCTGGGACTGGTTGGAAGAAGCGGAGAGGTGGTCAGTGCATGACATGGTGTCGTGGCATGAAAGAAAGCTGCAAAGGACTGGCTTGTGTTGGTCCTTCACGACTCCCTGGCTGGGGTCCGAGAGATGGTGCAACACAGTGGCTAGAGACGTTATCAGATATGGCTCAGAATAGAAGCCAGTGGCGATCCTGCTGTAACCTTCTTTTACTTTCTTCATAAAAGTGGTTGTATCTTACTTAACTGAAAGATTTCTTCTGATTGTACCTCTTCGTCATTACTCTCTTTTTCTTTTGCGTTCCTTAGTTTTTTTTTCTTTTTTTCTTTCTACTTCTCTTCGAATTCCCATTGTTTTGTGTGGCGCATATATATTGGCGCTCTCTTGTACCAATATTTATGTGTTCAAATAAATAATAAATAATATAAATATCAAACCTATGGAGCTTCAGATTTGTATGAATGTATACGTGATGTAGGATAATTTCATGAACTTACCCCATAGAATTCAATGAGAATTGAAGACTAGACAGATACAACATTGGTTATTATTTCGTGAATAAACAATGCAGATATATTTGCCCTAAAAAAAGCAAATCATGATCAAAATCACTCAGTTTTAAAGTCTCACACTATGGAACTGAGTGAATCCCATGAAAAGCATCAATTCTCCCTCAAGATCATAACCAAACCTTGTGCGAGTACCAACTACGGAAACACATAGATTGAACAGAAATTCCCGCCAAATGTCTTTAGTCAATATTGACAATTCTATTATATTTCAATTATAACCTGAAATACAACTTAAGCAAAGATGAATGGTGGCTGGCTGTGGAATTCAGGATGAGCATTTCGTATTATTCGGGATTCGTCAGCTGGATGTACCTGCATCACACAATTGATTTTCACTCCCAAACTTAAACTCGGTACTGTTCACTTCAAACGTCATCGCGTTATCCACTTAGCCACTGAGTCCTTGCATTTTAAGCGATGGTACTGGGTTTGAGTCCCCAAAATGAACATCAACTATGAGATGTAGGTACATCCAGCTGACGAGTCCCAAATAAGACAAAACGAGCGTCCTGGACCCCACGGCTAGTCACCGTCCATCTTTACTTACAATGCTTGTGACTTAAAGCAATATTGAAGCAATACGCACAGGATGCATATACTACCAATAAGAGACTGATCAATTGCAGTCTTAAACATCAATGGGAAGACTCAAACAAACAATACAAAATGAATTAGAAATATAATTTGTTTGAATGAAAAATATTTGACTAACCAATTTCCAGAAGTGATTACTTCTGCTGAATTCTCTTCTTCATACAATACTTGTACATCCTTCAATAATATTAAACTATGATCGGATAGTAGAAATAATACATTGATTTCATCTGATGTATTCATATTAAATATCAATGGAATAGAGACAGTATTATCCTTTTCATTATTATTATTATTATTACCATCATTATTATCATTACAGAAATGATTAAAAATACTCTTATGTACAGTTTGTAAATAAAAACAACCATGTGTATTATTCCATAGAATTTTCCCAATCACATACAATGATGATTCTAAATGATTCTTTAGCGTTGTTTGAGTCATAGTTGATGTAATCGGAATTAAACGTTTGAATGAACGACGATATTGTTGAAACTTATTATGATGTAATCTTATTTGTAAGCTAATTTGTATAATACACAAATGAAATAAGAGAAAAGATCAATTTTAAGTCTCGTGTCCTTTCAGTAAAGAAAATATATGAATCAGAATGCTAATGAAAAATGGCATGAAGTAATTTGAAAATAGATGGACAGTTCCTAACAGTAGAATCTAGGAGGCATGTTTCGTCCTATTCGAGACTTGTTAGCTAAATACAATTGGATCCTAGTGGTTATGTACACTATACTGATATTTGAATCTAATATTCTCTTTGAACGTATAACGCATTATTCATTGACTTATGGATAGAATGTTTAAATCATTATCAGGAGTGGATGCCCATTGCTGAGGACATGCCTAACAGAACGAAACGGCCGTCTAGTGCTTTCAGGTTTTCAATAGTGATCTAGCTAAGATTGATTCGTGGTTTCGACGGCGAAAATATTGGCAAATTGTTTAGTTATTTTGATGTTGATATCAGAGGAAAATTCTGATCAATCTTTGTTGAAACATGTATATCCGGTGTGGATTTCCTCTCTCTCTCTCTCTCTCTTTCCATATACATATATGACCCTTTCTAATGACAATTTAGATAGTTATTCGTAATCAAATGTAGTTTCAATTAAAATAATTATTCCTTATTACGATCAGACATTTGTGTAGATGTATTCAGTCATGGTATTGTCTTAACTTAAATCTTAAGTTTTAAACTTATCTTATATTTTCTATCTCTCGAATTTATTCTTTTTCTGCAATCATAACGTATTTACCTAACGTTTTCCATTAACACTGATAATGTTAGTACTTCTATTACAGTGGAACTTGTTTTGATCATTTTATCTCGCTGTGCAGATATGTATGTGGAGTGGGAATTTCAATCAATGTGCATATATCCTAGATTTAAGTCAGCTATTCAGTCAGTAATACACAACGTAGAACCTGGAACAGAATATAATTTATGAATAACTAACCACTCAAGTTAAGAGCTTCAAACGTAATAATAATAATAATCAGTGTGGAGCTGTGGAGATTGTTGGATTTCAATGAAATCACAAATTGATCTTAGTTAGACAACCACTGAAAACCCAAGTTTTTAGTGAGGAGCCATCACAAATGGAATTAAACCTCATCGAGTGTGAAGAAATTATCTACCGAAAAAAAGGAAGATGATCGCGCAATATTATGGATTAATTGGGGTTAGACTTATACATAATTGGATCCCGGCTAAAATGGTTTAGAGACTGTGCTCCCGGACCAGATCGAAGGTCCTGGATTTGATTCCTATTTTGGGTGGATCGTGGGTGTACATCCCCGAAGAGTACCATGCTAGGACGAAACAGGCGTCCAGAGCTCAATTATTGATTCCACTGAAATAATGATAATAACAAAACAATACACTCAATGGACGAAGAACTAAATTTCTTTTGAGTCGAGCAAAAATTTTCAAGACATACAGTGTTTTGCATACTTGGACATGCCATAAATGGTTCATTGTTGTTGACAATAATGACGATGACTTTGATGGTATAAATTGTGTACAATAAGAGGAATAAATGCATTTAAAACACTGATCTGTTGTTGAAAATGTACAAATTTCTTCAGAATCATTGTTCAACTCCATTGATTTGTCAATAGATTGAAGCCTAGCAATAATATCGTGTAAATCAATGATACTATCTTTCACGAAATTGAAGGATTGATAATTTTCTTGGACGTTGGATATGAATGGGAATTGTATAAAATCTTCAGCATACTGATATGATTTGAAGTTGACATATCTTGATTGAATAAACAAATTGGATAATAAATGTTTAAATAATTCAGACAATGTACAGTCTTGATTTCTTAATATATTCTCCTGGAAATAGAAAATAATCATATAAAGTAAAGTACATGGATAACTGTTAAACAGAATATTATCAGTATTAGCGTTACTTACTGTAAAATTAATAAGTAGTATAAACACTTCCTATTAATAATGAAATAAGCATCATACCGGCGAAACAAGTTAGTGATTATCTGAACTCAGTAGCTCAGAGGACATATTGAGAACGCATGAATGAATTATATTTACCACAAAGTATCTATTAAATAGCATAGAGAATACATCATCACTCATTGTTACTGATGTTATCTCACTGATTGAAATCATGAGTCATTTGAAGTTAGACCACCATGGAAAACCTGGAAGCACTGGACGGCCGTTTCGTCCTAGTATGGGACTCCTCAGCAATGAGCATCCACGATCCCGCACCTCGACAGATTCGAACCCAGGACCTATCGGTCTCGCGCCAGGTGCTCAATCAAATAGACCACTGAGCTCGCATCCAGTGGTGTTAATGTCTAACTTCAACCAATCCACTTAGTTGCGCTACCGTACACCATTGTCTTCAGTGAGTTACTATCTCACAACAGACCTGGTTGAACTCCACTGGTAACGGCTTCTCACTAAAACTCCGGGAGTATCTCTTGAAGTCAGTCCCATACTAGGACGAAACGGCCGTCCAGTGCTTCCAGGTTTTCCATGGTGGTCTAGCTTCAATTGACTCATGATTTCAATCAGTGAAAACACACAATCACTAAAAAATGCAGATTAACCAACAATTATAAGTAGTTGATATCAGTAGTAAACTTGGCCTAAATATGAACTTCTTCATAACACATTTTTATATATTATAATGTTAAAAGTGTGAACATAGTAATTATGTGTTGTTCTAAGAATTGATATTGATACACAATCTCTTTATAAACAAAACCAAACAGCTAATCGAGTTAAAATACTAAGAGTGAGGAACGGAGTTTATTGGCTAAACCGAATCAAACATATGTGCACTTATTCATATACATATGTTCCTTGGAAATTAGGCCACCATTGTTATATGTTTCATTCCTAAAAAATGAAAGCCATTTCTTGATCAATCATCTAGTCGATTTCTGATTGACCCAATATATCATCTTTCTCTTTAGATAATAAATCTAGTTTCTCGGATTCAGCTTAAGGTGTTCGGATGGAGTTACATCAGTGCAAAATCATGAATGTAACACATTTTATTTTATTAATGTATCTAGAACTAGGAATAGTAACTCCTAGGCTCAACTACTCCAAATGAGGAAATTTATGACAATGACTATAGAAGATCGATTCAGGTAATCAACACTTGCTATAAATATATACACATAATCACATTGAAAATGCAACAGAAATTTAGCATACTAAGAGAACATTCATGAACTGGCAAAAAGCAGCATCCTAAAACGCAATCAAAGCGAGGAGTGGCTCCCATGGGAGAGATTTGACTTAAAAAAGTAGAAAATTCAAGTTTATAAAATCAAGTAACTAGTAAGTAGGTGTTTTATTGAAAAGTTAACATCTCCAACACCCATACAAAACAAGCACTATAAATGAAATATAGTGGTTTAGTACACGATTTAAATACTCAACTTCTAATCACAGATTGAAACTCTACTCACCTTTTCTCAACTTGCACAGGCGAATAGTATCAGTTGGAGATGTTGAGATCTCCCCGTCACCTCCTAAGAAAAAACCGCCTACTTGTAATTTTGAGATGGTGGAGAAGATTTGTAGCTCAGGTGGATGATTTTGGTGGAGTTTTGTTCTCTAAGCTGGATGGTTTGGTCGTGGAGCTTTCATCGTTCTTCTGAACGACATCATCAGCATAAACTTCAGATAGACTTCTATCTGTAATTTCCTATTTGTAAATATGGGTTTTTTTTCC